ACTTCCAGCATAACTTCGATTGCACTACTATCCTCCTTCTTGCGTAGGTGATACCACTTCGTCACAATATGCAGTTTTGTGCCTAGTTTGAAGGCAAAAGCTGCACCGTAGCTGTTTCTTTCCTGTCCGCTTTTCATTTGACAAGCTCCTTCTTTGTGATCCATCACTACGTGTGCTTGAGCTTCTTTGAGTTGACGGCCTTCTACGCGATGACTTATTGAACTGTCGTGAACTAGATTGCGGGTTGACTACAACGCATAACTTTGACGTTGCTGTAGGTGTTGGATCCGTATCCTCCATAATTTCTAATTGGTCGATGACTTTATCAAAGGCATCGAGTAAATCTTCCGCAGTCCAGTTGTCATTTTTTCTCCGCATCTCCCCAACCCTTTCTCCTTGTCTTTCTTGGAAACTTAGATCGAATTATCCTCATGGTTGTTGTCGATCCGGGCTGTTCGTTCAAGTTAGCAAGTTGCACCCATATAGCTTTTACTTTGCACAATGTAGTACGTTGATCAGTTACGGCTTTTCCTGCTGGAGGCAACGCCTCTAGTTGTTCCACAAGCCTGTTCCTTAAGACGTCTGGTCTATTATATGTACTAAGTAAAAGCTCTACTGCTCTTGGATAGTTCTCTGCAGATAATCTCATGGAAGCTATCAGGTCTCCGGCTCGTCCCTTAAGCTTACTCTTAAGGTGTAAACTTGGACGCCGCTCCTAATGTCGGATGGTTGTGTACGGCTATGGAGTACAGTTCCCAGAACTCTGGGAAATGAACCATGTCTCTTTCAAACTCTGGTATTTCCAACTTAGGCAGTTGAATTTCAACTCCTGGAAGTATGTTTCGTGTATTGTTTATCTTGCAGTTTCTCCTCACTTGGAGGAGTGTTCTCCAGGTTTGCTTTTATAGACTCAGCTGTAATAACCAGTACTTGCGCATTTGCTATGAGTTGCTCGGCTCGACTGGCTTCCCAGTGATCCATGAACTCCTGAAGTACGTCGAAGCGTGCTTTTTCGTCTTCTAGTTCCTTGATATAATTTTCTCCTCTTTGCCAAGCGCTCCTCAAGTTGTCCACCCATTGGTTCAAACCTACTACTATATCTAACATTTGTCGCTTACATGCTGTTACCGTCTTTGAATCCTTCTCGAGATCTTCTTTGGAGTCCTTGACAGCGTAGAATTCAATCATTGTTTGTTCCGCAGCCGTCAGTTTTTCCTTCAGGGCGTTTGTTGCCCTCGTGATTTGACCCTTCACGTATCCGGAGGCCGACATCGTATCAGCAGTTGTGACAGGTAAGCCACGAATATTCCAAATTTGGGGTAAAACCTGAAATGACCGTTCGAGATGTGTGTTTTTTGTTTTTGGTTTGTTTCTCGACGTGACGACAAACAACTACTGTGAAATTCATTTGTATCAGAGGGTCCCGTGTGGAACTCCGGGATACTGTATTACACAATATGTGAGGAATGGTGAGAGTAAATGGAAGTGACCACGAAAAAATGTTAAAACTGAAGAAAATAAGAGAAAATTCAATATGAATACGTTTAAATAAATTTGCCTATTATATTTGTTATTCGCTGAAGTTCTACTACTTTGGATTTTCGTATGGTTGATTGATTTGTAACCTGTTCTGGGGTTTTACTAGAAAGCTGCCCTTTTGTAATAGTTCATTTGATTTATCGATCGCTTGTACTAGTGCTAAGAAATTCTAGACTAGATTCAAGTGAACTTGTTATAATGTTTGCATTGACAGAAAATAGTACATGAGTCTTTTTGCTTCGGCACCTTGCGCTCATGGATTATGTGTGTATGCGTTGCCTGTTTCACCGACGAGAACTGGAATGTGATGATTGATGGATACGGCTGACAACCTTGCCAGAATGGAGCAACATGAAGTGATGAGGTGAGCATAGGATCATTGACGAAGCTCGTTTCTCTAGATAATATGCTTGTTTTAATTTGCATAGAACTTTAATTCTTCTTTGTTGATGTCTTTTTTGTTTTCGCAGCGCGAAGCTTTCTTGCTGCAGGAACTCCAGGGCTCCCAGACAATACCTAACCATTTGGGCGCGGCCGCGGCGAACGCGGCCGAGTCGATGCCCGCGAACCGTTGAAAACGCACTCGAGGTGCCCGCGAACTGTGCTGTGCTGAGTTCGCGGGCACCTATCAACTCGGCCGCGTTCGCCGCGGCCGCGCCCAAATGGTTAGGTATTGTCTGGGAGCCAAACTCCGGGGCGACTGACACTGCCGCATTATAAGTGAACGCGCGCGGCTCCTCCCTGCGCAAACAGCTTAAGCCCTGCAGAAAGCCGAAAAAAGTTGGCGGGCTCGGTCGCCATTCTCCACTCATGGTAAGCTTGATGGCCTCTCAATTTGTCTAGCAAAAAAGCACCATACGCAGCATTGGGATAGAGCGCTGCTGGGTGAAGGTCGCTTGGATTCTATTTGTTGCGCGTTTCATCGCACGCATGATGGCGATCTTCACTCACCACAGAGCTCTATCCTGATGCTGCGTGTGGCGATTTTTGCGCTATACAAACTCACATGCGATCAGGCTTACCATGACTGCTAGAGACGCCAGCCGATTGCACGCCTTCCATGCCCAGGTGTTCTGGATTCTGTTTATTGCGTGTGTTATTCCATAGCAACGCTACTCATGAGGAAAGCCTGTGAGTCCTAGTCTAACAGGAGCTCAATTTTTCCTGTTTGGGATCTTCCAAAATCTCTCGGTTTCGTACGGTTGTGGTTCACCACGATAAGAATCGACTTTTCCTCGTTTTGCTGCGCGAAACATTGTTCGGTACGGGGATCTCTGGTCATTGATGTCTCTGCGGAAACCACGGGTCCATAGTTAGCTGGTTACGGGATTAAACGATATCTAACAAACTTCCGGATTTGTGATGTGATCGAAACTTTATTAACCTCGCCTTTTGACCTTTCTCCTTCTAAATGCTACAGGCAATTCACTGTAGTGTGAGTTTATTTCGGCAAGTCGTAAAGACTTCCTGTAGAGGGACATTTTTTGATGTCGGTTGAGGTCAGGTCACGACGAGTGAAGTTAGTCTGTGTCTGTGATTTGCTTCGTATTAAAGAAGCCGTCGAATTTAGTTTCAAATATAAGGATAAAGGATGAGACCCTTGTATTCGACGCTGGATTCGATGTCCCTTTCTCAACCTTCTTGGTGCGGTTTTCTAGGACAGAAAGCGATTTTTTCGCTTTCCGCACGCACACCATTTTTCACTGCGGGAACCTCAGGCCCACCGCTAATCATTAACAAACCTAGAGTTCCTACAGCGAGAACTGTTTCGCGTGCGTGGTAAGCCGTTTTCATGAATGAGCTACCCCTTCCGCACAATAATGCACACTTCACAGCGGTTTCAGTGATTTTGAGAATGAGGAACTTTGGCTCCATCGGTTTTGGGGCAAGCTCTAGCAACTCTGAGTATTCGATCTCTTCTTCTTTCCTAGTACACATCTATTTTTTCGTCTCGACTGCATCGTAGCCCTGTCATCTTCTTCTTCTTATTCTTCAGCGTTTGTCCCGCTTGTTGGCGGGGTCCGCTTTTCTGATATGCTGACGCCACTTTTCCCGATTAATGCTTGGTCGGGGTGTATGTTAACCGACTTCAAGTCTGTGCGCACATTGTTCGTATATGACGAACATTTACGTTATCCATTGGATAACGTAAAATGGGTGCATGTTGGGTGCAGAGCGTTTTTTCCTTTAGAAGAAGAGAAAGCAGTTGGGATTCGGGCCTCGGGGGTTTTCGACCATGCTGAATCCAACGGTGCTGGTCATTTCCCATGATGTTCACTGCCAGCCGACATACAGCTGGCCACACTGTAGATGCACTTCTTCATCCAAAATCCATCCCATCGCGCCGGCTCTTCGCTGCTACATGCCCACGCGTGGCCACGCCCACCTCGGCATCTGCGGCACGGTGTCGCAGGCGCCCATGGAGTGCAGCTACGGCGTCCTTGCCGCCATGTCATTTCCCTTCATACTGCGAAGAATGAGCTCCAATTTCGAACTTAAGCTTTTCACCCATTGCTAAATCCACTGAATACACAAAGTTTTCATCAACATCCATTTTCAATACATACTCCAGACACAAAGAATCCCGAAGCTTCATCCTTGTCCTAGGCTTAGTCCCAGGCAACGAGCAAATATTACCAAAAACATGTACACTAGAAAGACAATTCATATCAACTTGGAAGCAATCTGTGGTCACTTTCCATAGCCTGTAATATTCAATCACCCAGATATCTCAAAGCTACAATGCCATTATTGCTGAAAGCTACTTTCGCAATACGAACGCAACTCGACTTCGACAACAACTATATGTACCAAAACACCAGTTACTTACAAACAGGAACGGCTCCTTCCAAAGCAATATATCCTCAATGCAATTCGAAGTCAGGGTTACGCGAGCGATCAAACCAGGAAGCATTGTTTTCGTGTGAGGCATCGTGCATCGGACCCCAAATCATCGCGGCCGGGCGAGCGGTATTGATTGATTGCAGGTGGCAGCCGGAAAAGCTCTCGAGAAAGCCAATTGTGGCTATGACGAGGAAATCAAAACAGAATTCTCTGCGTCTGTCACGCGCCGACGGCTGACCGGCGCATACGACGGCCAGCCGTCGTATGCGTAGCCGTCGTCTACCCCAATTCCCTAATTTCACCTCTAAATAATGCCAGACACACGGATTTTATACAAAATTTTGAAAAAAAAATGATGAAGAAACTTTGTGTAGTGGTCTATCCAGCATATTTTATGAAACAACGATTACAAACTGCTATAAATGCTCAATTACAAAACGTATAGTGCAATGAAATCGGGAAAAAAGGCAAAATTTTTTACAAACTTTGTAATAAATGTTCAAAAATTAGTTTTTCCCGCGTAAAATGCTCTATTAGGGTTTTAAAAAATTGTACATTACATGGCAGGTCCTCGTTGCAGGCCACCTGAGCAACTTTGGTTTAATTACCCAAATTTCGTGTAACCAAAATGTAGGGGTTTCTGAGCAAAACTTCACTAACATGGGTAATCGACCACGACAAATTCAATGGTATCACTGGTTTTGCATGAATTTCAGATTCACATACGGAATCTGCTAATTTTTGTAGAGACGGTGTGCTTCAATGAATAGATCTTAGGAACTTATGAAATTCATCAACCAATGCCAGCTATTCAGGATAAAGCGACTCATATCCTACTGAAGCATCCACCTACATTTTGATAGGGTAATGTGGATGTTCATGAAGTGCATCCACAGTGTCCTCACAGATTACCGTACAATTCCCTAATTTCACCTCTAAATAATGCCAGACACACGGATTTTATACAAAATTTTGAAAAAAAATGATGAAGAAACTTTGTGTAGTGGTCTATCCAGCATATTTTATGAAACAACGATTACAAACTGCTATAAATGCTCAATTACAAAACGTATAGTGCAATGAAATCGGGAAAAAAGGCAAAATTTTTTACAAACTTTGTAATAAATGTTCAAAAATTAGTTTTTCCCGCGTAAAATGCTCTATTTAGGGTTTTAAAAAATTGTACATTACATGGCAGGTCCTCGTTGCAGGCCACCTGAGCAACTTTGGTTTAATTACCCAAGTTTGAGGTACTAATAAGATCCGACCCGATTCAATTCGTGGTCAGAGAAATTTTGGAAAACTCTCCTAAATGGAGAGAACAAGCACTTGGAAAATGTCGAAATCGACGTATTGAACAACTGAGGGGGCCACCATTTCCATTCTGGTTGAAATCGGCTGGCTAGCCGATCGTTCGGCTGGTTGGCCGAATGATCGGCCAGCTAGCCGATTCTACAAACCCAAATTTCGTGTAACCAAAATGTAGGGGTTTCTGAGCAAAACTTCACTAACATGGGTAATCGACCACGACAAATTCAATGGTATCACTGGTTTTGCATGAATTTCAGATTCACATACGGAATCTGCTAATTTTTGTAGAGACGGTGTGCTTCAATGAATAGATCTTAGGAACTTATGAAATTCATCAACCAATGCCAGCTATTCAGGATAAAGCGACTCATATCCTACTGAAGCATCCACCTACATTTTGATAGGGTAATGTGGATGTTCATGAAGTGCATCCACACAGTGTCCTCACAGATTACCGTACAATTCCCTAATTTCACCTCTAAATAATGCCAGACACACGGATTTTATACAAAATTTTGAAAAAAAAATGATGAAGAAACTTTGTGTAGTGGTCTATCCAGCATATTTTATGAAACAAC